GCAAACAAACAACCCGAATTTTATTTTTCTTCCTTAGCATGTTATTCACGACCTAAAATCACTAGATACCGCTCAGGTTCAAGAGCACTGTCCTGCGTTCAAAGATGGTTGCCCGTTTGCAAAGACAGACGAGAAAGTTTTAACCGAAGCAATTGAAAAGTGTCCTGAATTCAAAAATGGCTGCCCTTTCAAAGGTGCGAAAAGTCTTGCTGAAGTTTACGAGAAGTTGTCTCATGTTCCACATGCAGGCCATGTGAAAGAAGTGTCTGGCCAGAAATTGGTGGAAATGTTAAAGAAAATGCACAGCACTTCGGAATGTCTGGAAAAGAAGTTAGGAGATTGTCCTGTGTTTCATAAAGATGACGGTTGCCCGTTTAAAAGTGTCCGTAGTGAAGGGAAACATTTAGTGGATCCAGTGGACTCCGTTGCTCATAACTAGGTATGATGTCCCACTATCCCCCATGTTAACCAACGTTATTATATATTCAAAGTCTATTCTCGTCTTATTATTCCCTCCACTTATTATTCCACTTAGTCAAAGTCCATTCTCGTCGGGTGGATAACACAATCCTGGGCCTTGATAATTCTCGATATCATACGAAAACCGAATTGTTTATTATCTTGGTTCCCTGCATGCCGTAATTACGAATAGATGTTGTTTTTATTAATGTTGTTAATATCTTAAATAAATTAGTGAATTTATTTACAGAATAAATTATATTAAGTGTTTGATAATCGAAGTTTGATGTTCGATGGCACTTTCGCCTGTTTCGGCGGTAATGGTCATCGAAAATTGCGAGGTCTGCCGCTTCCATTTACTCAGGATGCTATGGGATAGTTCTATTTCGGCCTTCAAAGACTTTTGAATGTAAAAACTGTTCACACTCTTCCATCGAACAAAGTCCAATGTGCACACCAATGGGTTTGATTTTTAACTTTCTGCATCAACATCGCGTATATTTGCCTTTCCCAGAATGCACTGCGGCCCATTTTACTTTCAGACCCCGTTTGCACGACACATTTTTGTCCCAAAAATTTTGTGACAGATATTACTTTATTTTCAGAATTCAGGTTCAAACAGTTCACTTTTCTCCCACTGTAATCCCAAGTGACTACTTACCTAAAACCTCTTGTAATTATAACTACAATTCTGTTGCTTTATTTCAGAGATTTGAATGATGCTAACTTCTATGGTTGGAGTGATTCCGAAATTAAAGTAGTGTCGAATTTCTTGATAGATTCACTGGAATATGAAACTTACAAATATTTAAAAATTTCTGTTGCTGTCTTTAGAAGTTATTTTTGCTTTTTTGTACATTTTTACAAAGTCGCATTTAACATACAGTAGAAACAACAACTAAGTCACGCGCGAATCATTATTTTTTCACATTCACAACTGAATGAATAAGCTCATTTTAACTTTACTGACTTGGTCAAACGAGGAGACTCATCGTTACAGGTGACATTTTGATATCTAGATTAATAAAATAAAGGTTTGATGAGTGTTTTAACTTAAATAAAACATGATGGTGTTGAGAAAGCATTAAGAACAGCTAACCAAGGTCGCGTGATTGTCAACCCTCATATACTCTCATTAGTCGCTGGGGAAGCTGTGCCGCCAGCTACTATAGGTTTTAGCTTCGGCGTTTCGACCTTTAGTTACTATTTTTAGTAACTGGAAGGACACAAATCGGAAAAAACCACTGATCTCATAGTAGGTGGATGTACTGTAGCTTGTAAAATGCGTGCTGAAAACGAGAACCAACGTGAATTCTCGCAAATTAAAGATACTTTGCGAAAGTGTACTGGGCCGATCAATCCACCACGAAGAAAAAATGTTGTGTTAGTGCGTTAGATTGCTCTAAAATATTTCCATTTGTATTCGTTCAATGTTGTCCCTTTGGGCATATAGCATTGGCAAGGCAATTTCTATTTTGGTTTCCAAATAAGGCAGCAAGCAACTACTTTTACAGGAAAATCAGTAATATCGTGTTGTTAGTTGCATTTAATTTTGATCGACAACTCATCTTTATTCTTATTATAAAGCCTTTTACAAATACATGTCTTCAGTGTAAAGTCTGTTATTTATCAGTACTAGTACTTGTTTTTATTCATTGCACTAACGAAGTCGAAGCCAACGTTAATAAAGCGTTCTGTAAAGTGAATTTATATTAATATTGCAGTTGAAATTTGAGTCAAGTATATCACAGTGTAGACACGTATACGTATATAATTATGTGGTGGCCGGACATTTTGCCGAAATACATTTTGCCGAAAGTGAATTTTGAACAATGTACTTATATAATACTTCATTAATGAGAACTTTTCAACTTTTGCACCATGTGCAAACACTTGCCCTTTCAGGAACAAAAAAGCGTTCACTTACCCAGGAGTGTGGAATAAAGTGGTCGGGGGGATGGAGTTATTTACTTATTTCTAGATTTTACATTATCATGACATAATATGCATGGAGTCATTATATAGATAACATTTCAGAAGTTGGAAAGTTATAATTCGCCTAGAAATGTAGGTGCATTTTGCCTGCATTACTAAGAGGGGCCTGTACTGGTTTTGCGGGATGCGTCTAAAATTGAAGTGGAATTCGGGATTTTAAGAGAAATATTGCCGGGAAGCGGGATTTTATCCCATCGCGGGAAGCGGGATTAATAAAAATACCATGGCCTCGACCATGGCGATATGCGGGAAGTAACCCACGATTAGCGGGATAAAACAAAACTTGTAGCCGTACGTTAGCTGATCTGTTGTCGTTTGTTTGTGTGCTTGAAATGTACTGTTTTCCAGGATAATATCGAACATTTGTCCCCCATCAATCCCCCATTTATATGTATATATGATTGCTGTTTTCATAAGAGTCGCGATTTTGAGTCATTTATTATTTTAAACTTTGTTGATTGTATTCTAGTGTATTCAAATTGTGTTTTATGTCGTTACCATGTTCTTTAAATCATCATAAGTTGAACAGTGTTAGAAACAAAGTCGGGAGCGGGAAATTGGGGTGAGGCATGGCGGGATAACGGGATTTGAAGTGAAAATCGGTCGGGATGGCGGGATTTCGGAACCCAGTACAGGCCCCTCTACTAACATACAGTACTAGTTTATAAATTAAATAGGCACATTACATAAAACTTACGACGCACCTACAGTCAAATTTATGCAGGCCTTCGCGGAATAGGTTTGTATAAAATCCTAGCGACTAAACGCTCAATACAGCGTCTTGTTCTCATTTAATACGGGGTTTAGTTGCAAGATGAATTATTTGTATGGTCGTTGGGGAGGGCGGATGTTTTAAAAAAACCGTTTTACGTTACCTAACACTTTAATACTTAAGAAGTGTTTGAAATTTAGTGGGTTTTCAGTTTCATGAGTAGTAGGGCTTCTTTCGAACGAATATGTTAGCATAATGATACGGAGCTAATTTGGCGCAACGGTCGCCTGCGGGGAAATTTTTAATATTGCCTGACGTTCATAAAGCCCGGAAATGCAATTAGGATTTTGCATTCTTAGCTTGCGTTCATTGATCGCCTAATTATTTATATAAATCCTAAAGCTAGGCGCATACACCGCTATTTTAGTTGGTCGATTATGGTTTAGATGCATGTTACTGAACCGAGAAACAGTCAGTGGTATGTATATGTCTGTGGGCTCACTATAAATTCTCGCTCCTTACACCTAAACCGTAAGTCGTATATGGCTGACTAAAATCGTAGGCTGCATGTGCTCCCGACTTAAAGAATTCAAAATACAATTTGTC